TAAAGGAGGCAAGACTACACACTGGGAAAAAGACAGTCTCCTCAACAAATGGTATTGGGCAAACTGAACAGCTACATTCAAAAGAATGAAACTGGACCACTTTCTTACACCATACACAAAAATACACTCAAAATGGATTAAGGACCTACATGTAAAACCATAAAAACCCTAGAAGAGAACACAAGCAGTAATTTCTCTGACAGTGGTTACAGCAACATTTTTCTAGATATGTCTCTTGAGGCAAGAAAAACAAAAGCAGAAATAAAACTACTGGGACTACATCAAAATAAGAAGCTTCTGGAGTGCCTGGGTGGCTCAATTGCTTGAGCGTCTGACTTTGGCTCAGGTAATGATCTCATGGTTTGTGAGTTGGAACCCCATGTTGGACTCTGCACTGACACAGAGCCTGCTTGGGATTCTTGCTCTCTCCTCTCTCTCTCTGCTTCTCCACCACTCACACTTTCTCTCTTTCTCAGAACACATAATCTTTAAAAAAGAAAAATAAGAAGCTTCTGCACAGCAAAGCAACTAACAGAACTTAAAGACAACCTACTGAGTGAGAGAAGGTACTTACAAATGACCTATCCAATAAAGGGTTAGGGTGTCCAAAACATATAAAGAACTTATATAAGTCAACACCAAAAACACATATAATCCAATTAAAAATGGACACAGAAGACATGAACAGACATTTCTCCAAAGAAGACATACAGATAGCCAACAGACACATGAAAAGATGCTTAGCATCACTGATCATCAGGGAAATGCAAATCAAAACCACAAGGAGATATCACCTCACACTTGTCAGAATGGCTAAAATAAACAAGAAGCAAGTGTTGGCAAAGATGTGGAGAAAAAGGAACCCTCATGCACTGTTGGTGGGAATGCAAACTTCTGCAAAAACTGTGGAAGACAGTGTGTGTTTCCTCAAATAATGAAAACTAGAATTACCATATGATACTGGGTATTTACCTGAAGTACAAAAAAGCACTAATTTCAAAAGGTATATGTGCCCCTTTGTTTACAGCAGCAATGTTTATAGTAGGCAAATTATAGAAGCAACCTAAGTGTCCATCCACAGATGAATGGATAAAGAAATGGTGTGTGTGTGTGTGTATAAACATACACATACACATATACAAGAAATGGTGTACACACACACACACACACACACACACACACACACACACACACACACTGGAATGTTGCTCAGCCATAAAAAAGAATGAAATCTTATCATTTGCAACAACATGGATAGAGCTAGAGAGCATAATGCTAAGTGAAATAAGTCAGAGAAAGACAAATGCCATATGATTTCACTCATATGTGGAATTTAAGAACCAAAACAAACCAATAAAGAAAAGAGACAAACAAAAAAGACTCTCAACTATAGAGAACAAACTAGTGGTTACTAGCTGGGAGGTTAGTGGGGAGGATAGGTGAAACAAGTAAAGAGGATTAAGGAGTACACTTAATCATGATGAATGCTGAGTAATGTATAGAGTTATTGAATCACTACATTATACATCTGGAACTAATAGAGCGCTGTTAATTATACTGGAATTAAAAAAAATTTTAATTTTTTCCAAAAATTATAGTGCAACAGCAGGACAGTACAGATAAGTATGGCTGTTTTCTAATAAAACCTCTTTACAGTCACTGAAATTTTAATTTCTATAAATTTCACGTTACAAAATACAAAATTTTTTCATCCATTTTAAAATGTAAAAATCATCCTTAGCATCCAAGCTATATAAAAAAAAAGCAATAGGCCAATTTGATCTGTGGACCACAGTTTGCCAATATTGACCTAGAATTTTAGTACTTGCTTCTTTTTTAAAAAATGATTTTTAGAAACTCGACATCTAAAATTTTTAATTATATATTTTTCTCTTTTTTTGTTCATCATGTTCTTAAACCCTGCTTCTTCTTTTTGAGATCATTTTTCTTCTAATTGAAGTATATCCTTTAATCTTCTTTTATTCAGACTGATAGCTAACATTTACAGATGCTTATTTATATGTGAAGCACTGGTCTAATAAGTACCTTACATAAATGAATTTGCTTCATCTATACAATATCCTATGGCATAGATCCTAGGAAATGTCCTATCCCATGAAAAGTCTTTATTTCACCTTCACTCCTGAATAATAGCTTGGCTGGTGAAAGAATTCTAGATTTGCAATTCTTTTCCCACAGCACTTTAAAAATAATACTACAAAATGTCAATCTGGTGTTTGTCCCTTTGTAGGTAATCTGACTTTTCTCTCCAATAGCTTTTTCAATGTCTTCTTTTTCCTTGATTTATAGGTATGAATTTTTAAAATTTTATAGGTATGAATTTTTAAAAATTTTTCTGCCAACACTTAGCAGGGATAAAAAAAAATTTATCCCTCAATAAAATTTTTCAACCGGTGGGCTTACATCTTTCTTCAAGTCTGGGAAATTCTCAGCCATTATCTTTTCTTGCATTGCTTCTCTACCACTCTCTCTCCTTTCAATTTCTGGATCTTATAATCTAATCCCCCAAGGCTCTTACCTTTTTTTTCTTTTTAAAATCTTATTGTACTTTTGCATGTTGCATTCTGGAATACTTGTTCATTTAATCATTCATTTCACTAATTTGTTCTTCAGCTCTGCCTAGTTTACTACTGAGTTCATTTTATTTCAAACTTCATAGTTTTCCTTTCCAGTGATTCCAACTGATTCTTTTTTCATAGCTCACACTTTTGTTTTCATGTTCCTCCCCCTGTTTATCTCTTTGAGGATATAAAAAGTACTTCCTAAGTCCTTTTCAGATTGTTCCATTTGCTCTGTTTGCTCAAGAAATCATTCTTTCTGGTTTTTTCTTTTTTTTGATCACTACTGGCATCTGTGTTCTTTAGATGCTTTGTGATTCTTGGGTTGAGATCATCTGTAGATTTCTCTCATGAGTACCCTGGGCAGTAGCACTCTTTGACCTGGACAGAGAGAGAGCTCCCCAGCCTCATTCTTCAGAGCCCTACCCAGCATCATAGTTCAACAGACTATGCCCACCTGGAGCTACTCTACTCTTAGAGACCCTGGAATTCCTTAAACAAATGGCCCAAGCCTGCTTCCAAAATCTACATGGACCTCTTCCCAGGATTCAGACTCCTGAGGGCAGACTATATGCTGTTGTTTGTTCACCCTTAAGCCCAAGGGGTGGCCAAGTGGCAGGGATGTGTACACTGAGATTGGAAAAACCAGGTAAGGTGATCACATGCACACATGACAGGCCCCTCGTGATGTAGAACAGCCAGAGAAAAAGGCAAGCCACAGGCAGCCTCTCCCCTTGCTGCCACCTTCCACCAAAGAATCCCAAGGAATCTAAGAATTTTAAACTTGTCCTTTCAACTTATTATAAAGATATATTTGTAAAAAATACAGAACATATCAGAACATATTTTACTTAACAAATATTAACTTGATTTATAATTTTTAAACATCTATACATATAGTATGTAGGCCTCCATTTAAACTCCTACTCAGGGCCTCACAAATGAGGGGGCAGGCCAGACTCATAGTGGTTTTTATTGACACTTCAACCTCTGTGTTGGAAGGCACTGGGCTTCAGTACCACCTGCGGACAAGAGAAAAGTCTTGCCTCCTCTAGTCCGGGCAGGTAACTTGGATCTAGCTCCCCACCATTCCCAATCCCTGCTCACCATCATAGATTCCCAGCTATTTCTTTCTTTTAGGAAGTAATCTCCACTTCTGATGTATGGAAATTTTTTACCTTTTTTAAAAAAAGTGTGGTTATGTGCTTATTAGGTGTGTGTGTATTTTAGGTATTCAGAGCAGAAGGGAAAGGTTTCAGCATATTTTTAATCTGCCATCTACGCCTAAAAGTAGAGCCCCTGCTATAAAGTATGGAAGTCAAGAATGCTTCATCTGATATCATAAGGTGAGCCAAGAAACAAGAATCAAAACTAGAGCTCAGATATGGAAGTCTTCATTGCCTATGACACAGACTTGATCACAGCAAACCATCACAGCTGGGAAACAAAAGTAATCTCATTTTAATAAAAATCATAATAGTGTACCAACTATCTCCACAACCTGGGAGGAGGTGGCCTCTCTGGTCCTCAGTTTCCCAGCTACAATCAAGTGAGTTCAATAAGCTAATGTCTAGTCATTTAAAAAAGCCCCTTTTCTTATTAATTTTTCTAATTTCACATAATACAGGCCTAGGTCAGATTTTAATACCATCAAAGAGTGACTTTCTGAGCCTGAACTATATTAGCATTTCAGAGATAATATCAAAAGAAATCATCGAGCTGCTTGGGTGGCTCAGTCAGTTAAGCGTCCAACTTCAGCTCAGTCATGACCTCACAGTTTCTAAGTTCAAGCCCCACATCGGGCTCTATGTGACAGCTCAGAGCCTGGAACCTGCTTCAGATTCTGTGTCTCCCTCTCTCTCTGCCCCTCCCCTGCTCTCTCTCTCTCTCCCTCTCAAAAATAAATAATAAACATCTTTTTAAAAAAATTAAAAAAAAGAAATCATCCAAACTATCCAATAGGGTATGTAAGAGAGCTTTGGTAAATTGAAAGATATTTTGTCAAAGTAAGATAATATTGTTACATATGGTGGAATATACATTCAGTATTATACACTCAAAAACGGTTTATGTGTAAAGGAGTAAGGACTGCTCAATGAAAAGGAACTGATTCACTAGGAAAAACTGAGAACAGGGAGGTGAGTAGTCAGCAAAGCAACCACAAAATTAAGCCAAAATAAAACTTCAGTCTTCAGGGATAAAGTATAATAAGCCTCCTTGCAATGAAAAGGGCATACCTCTCTTTGAACAAAAGTATCAGAAAAAGTATGAGTCTATGAAGTAGCTCTGTTGAGCAAGACATTTTAAATAGCAACACTTTATACCATAGTTGCTTCTAAGTACATCATTTCCAGCAACTCAATAGCATGCATGGTTATCAAGACAGGCATCTACAAATATCCAAGACAATTACCAACTCACCCCAAGTAAGAGTAGCCAGGGTCAAGAGCTCAGGGATTGACTCCTGACATACTACATATTCTGGAGAATATGGATCTGTTTGAACTTCAGCATCCCGATAATCAGTCTGAGTGCCCACAGTACACTTTGAAGGGATAGATGGGTACTTAGCAGAAGTAGTAGGAAAAGTATATGGCTCTGTCCTAAAAGGGAAAATTATTTTAAAAATTAAAACCTGATCCAATCACTTACAATACTACATAGTCAAGCAGAAATGAATCCTTAGCTTCACTAAGCCTATGCCCCCTTTAAACATGCACAAATTCATGCACCCAGTGTAACCAGGACTGTGGCCAATTATCTTGAGTGAACTGCCTTGCTATTCTCACCTCTGCCAAGAAACTGAAGGGATATAAATGCCCAGGTCTATTCATAAAAGTGCCTGTTCATCTGTATATCATTGGGCAGGGTTGAACATAGAGTTATAAAAGGTGGATCCTAGCTTATCATACAGTTACTTCTGAACATGTTTAGAATTGCTACTTCCAATCGCTTCTCGGCCTTTTGGCTAAGATCAAGTGTAGAATTGCTACTTCCTAGTTTCTTTCCGCTCTGCTTGTAGTTACACATCCAATTTTAGCTGTTTCCCTCTAGAAATACAGGAACAGAGAAAAAAGAAGAGATTCTTTCTAAATTTTTAAAAGATAAGGCTCTTTCTAGATGGACAATTCAATAATTAATGCTGGGATCTCTTGGTTAATTATGGAATAGTTATCTCATCCCTTAGACAAAAATTAATTCCAGATATTTTAAAGCATTTAATGTAAAAATGAGACTATAAAAGTAATAGGAAACATGAGTAAATACACCATCTTTGAGTGAAAGTGTTTCTCAGCATGGCTCAAAAGCCAGAGACTATAAAAGGAAATGATCAATAGAATTAAGGTTAAGTTGAAACTTCTACACCTCAAAATGTCATAAACAAATTTAAAATATGAATGGCACACTTAGGAATACGTTTTACAACATATATGATAAAAGTTAAATAGCCTTTCTACACAAAAAGTCCTTATAAATCAATGACAGTCAAATACCAAAAGAAAAAATGGGTAAAGAACAATTCACAAAACAAAAAGTAAAACTTCTAACACATGAAAAATTAATGAACATAACTAGTAATCAAAGAAAAATAAAGTAAAACAGCAAGATGATATTTTATTACATCACATAAGCAAAGACTGAGAAGACTGAAAATACCTAGCATTGACAAAGTTGTGAAGAAACAGGCATTCTCATAAACTGTTGACTGAAATACAAATAGACACAACCTAACTAGAAGGTAACTTATCGATCTAACCTTTATCTGACAGGTTATCTTATCCAACCTTTAAAAATACCCTTTTGGGGCATGTGGGTGGCTCAGTCAGTTAAGCATCTGACTCAGTTTTGGTTCAGGTTGTGATTTTGTGGTTCAGGAGTTTGAGCTCCACATGAGCTCAAGCTTGGGATTCTCTCTCTCCATCTCTCTCTGCCCCTCACCAGCTTGTACTCTCCCTCTCTCTCTCAAAATAAATAAATTTAAAAAGAAAAAAAACAACAACCCTTTGTCCCAGCAACTGCACTCCTAGGAATTTATTCTAGAAAATAACTGGACAAGTGTACAGAGATAAATGCAAATATGTTCATAAAGTCTCACGTGTAAGAGTAAAAAATTACAAACTCTTTTTTTAATAGCCAATTAAAAAATGGTTCAAACTAAGGTTATTAGGCATCAACCTTGGATCCATTATTTTCATCTTATTTTTTTATTCTGGCTTTTTAATTTATTTTTTGGTTTAGTTATTTATTTTGAGAGACAGAGAGTGAGCACATGAGCAAGCAGAGGAGGGGCAGAGAGAGAGAATCCCAAGCAGGCTCTGTGGTGTCAGCATGGAGCTTGATGCAGGGCTCAGTCTCAGGAACCATGAGATCATGACCTGATCTGGCTCTTTTTAAGTACAGAAAAAAATTTTTAGTTGATTCATTTAAACATATGCCTACTCTTATACATAATTTTTGTAACAAAACATATGATAGCACATATGCTTTAATATTTTAGTGCAGTGCTTTTTTCCTTTACTTTTGAGTTAGCTTCCCTCAATATCTTTTCCTCCCTAACACCCACAGCACTACCCTCTCTGTATATCCTAGATCTAGAATATATTCTTGAATTATCCTTGAATCTTGCTGTATTTTTACCCACTCTTATTCTTCTACACTCACACAAATACACACATGTAGAGTGTTATTTTATTGTTTTGCTAACATGGAATCTTATTATGAATACCTTTTTGCATGTTGCTTTTTTAACTAAACCATACTTCATGGAAATCTTTCTAATCTATTCATGTGGGTCTTTTTCAAGAAAAATCAAACTTAAATGATCACCATGAATAGAAAAACTACTTCAAAAAATATGGCATGCTTATAATGAAATTTATGCAGCTATTAAAAGTAACAATGAAATCTGTATTTATGAACATACAAAAATGTCCATGATTCAATGTAAAATAGAAAAAAAAGGACACTATGAAGCAATATGTACAACAGGACTACATTATTTTTATTTAAAACCTGTGTTTTGTGCATAGAAAATGCCTAGATGGATATACAATAAAGTAACAATTATTTCTGGATAGTAGGATTACAGATTTTTTTCATATTTATAGTTTTCTAAATTCTTTTTTTTTTTTAACCTGGACATGTATTACTATTAAAATGAGCAAAAAAACAACATAGCTATTTCCATTTAAAAGAATATGTTTTCTAGTTGGTAAAAGAATTAGTTAAATTACATAAACAAAAAACTATAACAGCAAAAAAGAGGAATTTCCATTTTAAAAAACAGTCAAAGGTAATGAGAGGTGTTTATATATAAGCAAAACATATACAGCTTAGCTCTTAAAAAAATGCATTTCAAATGAGCTAGAAAGAAGTACCTATTTGGAGGTTCAACCTGTAATGAAATAGTACTTTTTTTAAAAATAGTACTTTAATTTGTTATTAATGCTGAATTCTAATGGTATGGAAATAATTTTTTTAGCAGCTGCTATGAATTTCTAAAATATGTAGATAATTTAAGTGTTTATAATTTCTTACGTTTTCAGCAGAAATTATTCTACTATAAAAATTCTTGTTGAGGAAATAACTTCAGGTTTATATCATCCCAGATCTTATGCATATTTTTATATAATACCATTAGTTTGAATCAAAAGAATAAATTGTTTTCTGAATTAAAAATTACATATTTGAGCCATCTGATCCAGTATGCTAGGATAAGACCTAATGAGGGACACCTGGGTGGCTCAGTCAGTTAAGCATCCAACTCCTGATCTTGGCTGAGGTCATGATCTCAGGGTTTGTGAGAGCACAGAGCCAGTTTGGGGTTCTCTCTCTCCCTCTCTCTGCCCCTCCCCCACTAGCACGCACTCTCTCTCTCTCTCTCTCTCTCTCTCTCTCTCTCTCAAAATAAATAAATACACAACAACAACAACAAATAAAATTCATGAATCCTTCTGACTAAGCTTTATGGTGACTTAAGACCCTTGTAGGTGGGTCAAAGGAGAGGATGCAAAGGGGGAATGCTACTTTGACAGAAGTCCTATAATAACTTAATACAGTTTCTTTCCTAACTACCACATAGACACCAGGAGCACGGACTATCTGCCATACCTGTAGTCTTCTAGATTTTCCCTTCCAGCCCAATGAAACTAAACACAATGAGGGGTTTCACAAAGTAGCAAATCCTGTTCTGTAATTCTGTAAACTCCAATGAATGTTTGTATTTTTTTAGACTTAATTTTTTCAGGGGCACCTGGATGGTTCAGTTAGTTGCGGCTCTGACTCTTGATTTCAGCTCAGATCATGATCCCAGGGTCATGGGATTGAGCCCCATGGCAGGCTCTGCGCTGAGCACGGAGTCTGCTTGAGATTCTCTCTTTCTCCTTCTGCCCCTACCCCATCTGCATGCATGCCCTCTCTCTCCTAAAAACATTTTTTAAATAAAAAAAAATAAATTTAAATAAAAAAATAAATTTTTTTAACAAAGATAATTTTTCACAGTAGTTCTAGGTTCACAACAAAATTAAGAGGAAGGTACAGAGAGTTCCCATATACACTTTGCCTCCACATATGCCTATCCTGCTCCACTATCAACATCCCTCACCAGAGTGGTACATTGGTTACAACCGAAGAAACTAAGGGGCACCTGGTGGTTCAGTCAGTTGGGCTTCTGACTTTTGCTCAGGTTCATGAGTTCGAGCCCTGCATCAGGATCTGTGCTGGCAACTCAGAGCCTAGAGCCTGCCTTGGATTCTTCTCCCTCTCTCTCTGACCCTCCCCCACTCATGCTCTGCCTCCTCTCACTCACTCTCAAAAATGAATAAACATAAAAAAAAAAAAAAAACCAAACTAAGGAACCTAAATTTACACATCATAATCATCCTACAGTGTACATTAGAGTTCACTCTTTGGTGTTATACATTCTATGGGTTGGACAAATCCTTATGTATATACGTATACATATATAACATGTATCCACCATTATAGGATCATACAGAGCATTTTCCCCACCCTAAAAATCTTCTGTGCTCCTTCTATTCATCTATGCCCCTCAACCCCCTGACAATAAATTATCCTTTTATAATCTCCATAGTTTTGCCTTTTCCAGAATGTCACACAGTTGAAATCATACACTATACAGCCTTTCCTGATTGGCTTCTTTCACCAGTGATATGTATTTAAGATTTCTTTTTCATTTCTTTTCATGTCTTGAAAGCTCATTTCTTTTTAGTGATGAATAATATATTACATTGTCTCCAAGTACCCTAGTTTTGTTTTTTTTCCCCCTCATCTCTGTATTTTGTAAATTTTACTACGATATGTCTTGGTGTTGGCCTGCTTTTCTTGATTTTGATGGCAGTTCTCTGTGGCCTCTAGATTTGGAGGTCTGTTTCCTTCCCTAGATGAGGGATGTTTTCAGCTATAATTTCCTCAAACAGACTTTCTCCTCCTTTTTCCCTCTCTTCTTCTTCTGGGACTCTTTATGATATGAACGTTATTATGCTTTATGGAGTTGCTAAGTTCCCTAAGCCTACTTTCATGATCCAATACTTTTCTTTCCCTCTTCTTTTCAGCTTTATTATTTTCCATAATATTGTCGTCT